AGTATGTGATAGAGGTCCACAATTCGCGTCCAGGAAGTTTGCCCGCTTTTTGGAAGAACAGTTCATAAAGCTCTCGCATTCATCAGTTTATTATCCTGAAGCCAATGGTCAAATCGAGCGTTTCAATCGCACTTTCAAGACATTCATTCAGCTGGGGAACGTCGACCGCTGCGACTGGCTATCACCGAGTACCTCGGAATATACGGGTGCATGATGCAGGCTACAACAGGGATTGCCCCTGCTCTTCACCTTCATGGGAGATCGCCAAGAACTCGGCTGAGCGTCGTTGGCTTCCCATCATGGTTACTCGAGGAGGAACCAGCAAGAGAGCTGTCAACGTTGAGACAGCGAGTGAAGCTTCACGAGCTCTACAGTAAACGATACACCGGCAGAAGGAGAGCAGCAAAGAGCACAAAAGTTTCTCTAGGAGACCACGTGCGAGCTAAGAAGCCATTCATTTCCTTCAAGGTTGATAATAATTTCTGTCATGCAAAGAATGCCGTCAAGCAGCGTGGCCGGTCATCCTTCCTCCCCGACGACGGACGTACTTGGAACGCCTCCAAGTTGTGCGAGGTGCCTGCACTTGCGGCTGACCAGACTTGCATTCAGTCAAGTAACACATGGGTGCCCCGTGGTGGTAGCTCAGCCTTTGCACTGGCTGGCAGTGCTTCATCTCAGTTGCAAGTACAAAGTGTGCCGTCCCAGGAACCTGCGCCGCCCGAGGATCATGTGCCGTGCCAGCAAACTACACCACCTGAAGAAACTGGGCCGGAGCATTGAGTGCAACCACACAGGGACAGGCGTCCACTTGTTATGTTCCGGGACGATGTCTAGTGTTCCCTTCGGTTTTTGTACTGCGTCTTCCGTTGTACTCAACGTTACTAAAACACTCAGTTGGGAAACTCGCCGTCGAAACCTGGGCCGCTGGCGTCCACCGAGACCGAGCTAAATGCGACAACAGCGCCACTCTTTATCGTTTGTCTGTACTGTGGTCCCCTTGAGCTTTTTGAAAGCCTGTTTTTGCGTAAAAACAAACGAAAAAGACTCTTTTTGTATGAAATTTATTGGAGTTTAGTAGCAAAAGAGGGGCGCGTTATGTTTTTAAAATCTTTAGTTTGCCGGGTTTTGCGGAACAATTAATATTGTTTTTATACAACCATGCCTCAGCGGGCCTTTCAGGTAGCACGTCCTGACCTAGGTGCATTTTAATGTCAGTAGTAGAACGCGGCGCGTCCGCCGGGGAGACGGGGGTGGCACCCCTGTAACCTCTACCGCTGTATCTGTTCTTAGCCAAAATAGAAGTCACGTGCAGTTCTGCGAGAGGCCGCTGCGGGAGAAATGGTGGCGTTGTGTTCGTCATTAGCTCGGTGCTCGGAGACAGGTTGGGGCCACTTTTTCGAAGCTGTTTCTATGGGAGTTTCCCAACTGAGTGTTTTAGTAACGTTGGTTGTACTTGTGAGCTTCCATATGTAGAGGACAGATGTAAGTTCTGTAAATATGTATAATGTTGTTGTTTGTAAATATTGTATGATGTGCATATGTATATATATTTGTTGAATATATCTGAGGGCAAGTCGTTGCTAACAGTGCACTAACCAAATAACCTACTAACCAACGCTAACCCAAACAAAATCAAGGAAGTGAATATGTTGTGTATTGTGTGAATTATGGTACATTCTATAGTTTCGGTTTCAGATGCTCGGTTGGCAACATAGTGTCCTCGTGTGTGTATATGAGGTATGGCGTCCTGAATAAACCCGATTTTTGTTTGGTATTCCGTCGGATGCTTGGGAACGCCATTACACTACACACCACAGATATCTATATATTCGAACAGGAAACACTACATAACAAACATCCTTATACAATCGCTTGCGAGATATTTCACTCACATATTCAATAAAAAACGCGCTAACAAAAATTGGCACGACGCAACAATTTCCTTAAGGTAGTCCTGAATACCACTGGCCTCAAACGACGTAGAAACAACGAGCTCAGGCAAACGACTCGTGAGTCGCACTTGACACACTGTGTGCAAGAAGGGATCACTAACGTCACGAAAAAATAGAAAACGGTTAACAACTTGGCGTAAAAACAGATGTGTCAGACCCAGTACTGCAGAGACCACGCAGTGGTGGTGAAAAACTATCGATAGTACTATCGATATTATCGATAATCGCGAGAAATCTTACTATCGATGGTAAAAAAAAAACTATTGATTGTACTATCGATAGTCGGCTATCGAAAGTCAATTATAAAATACAATTGATGGTCGACTATCAAAAAACTATTGATAGTCGACTATCGAAAAGCTATGGATAGTACTATCGATAGTCGACTATCGGAAAATTATCGTTAATCGACTATCGGGAAATTATTGAGTCGACTATCGTTGACCTATCAATAATACTGTTGGCGGATTACCATCCATAGTTTTGCGAAGCTAGTAATTTGCGTCGCTCCCTCTTCTCTTTTTCTCGCTTTATTTTTTCAAATGAGACACCAACTAGCCCAAGCACTTACCATCCCAACTTTGGTCCAGCCTTCAGTGATGACGAATACGGGACATTGGGCGAAGAGAGGAGGAAGGGAGGCGAGTGGCAGTGCGGCAACTGTGTTCGTTCTAGTTCTGCAAAACTATCGATAGTTGCCATAAATTTGATTATTGATATTAAATAAACTATCAATATTACTGTGGATAGTCGACTATCGAAAACCTATCGATATTACTGTCAATAGTCGACTATCGAAAACTATCGATAGTCGACAATCGATAGTCGACTATCGATAGTTCAGCGACACTATCGATAGTTTTGGAAAAACTATTGATAGTATCGATAGTCAATTTATTGATAGTTTTACATCACAACCACGCAGACACGGTTGCACGGCTTGTGAGCGAGCGGGTGTTTTTATGTTTAGCTATCCACTTTTAAAGGCGAATCTTAAGCGTCCTTTTGCAAGTGTTTTTTTTTTTTTTGCTTTTTGGGCTCCTAATGCGCAGTAGGTATGCGCAGTAGACCATCTCAACTCACATTCTCACACTCCCTCACATTCGCACCCTCTTCGAAGGACCTGACGACCTTGACGTCGTCCTAGAGGCCATCCTTGAGGTCGTCCTTGACGTCATCTTCGACGTCGTCCTAGAGGCTCTTGAGGTCGTCTTAGACGTCGTCCTCTAGGACATCATTCTCAGCGTCGTCCTAGAATTTGTCCTTAAGTTCGACCTAGAGGTCGTTCTAGACGTCGTCCTCGACGTCGTTCTAAAATTTGTCCTTGAGGTCGTCATAAAAATCGTTCACGAAATGGCCCTAGAGGTCGTCCTAAAGGTCGCCCTTGACGTCGTCTTTGATGTTCTCTAGGACATCGTCCTCGACTTTGTCTTAGACGTCGTCCTTGAGGGCATAGGACAAATGCTATCGCAGTTCATAGACAACCAACGTTAGTGGTTTCCGCAGCCAACTTTTCTTCTCTCCTTTCTTTCCGGCCAGTCGGCTATTCGAACCCCGTAGTAGTCGTTGTGCCGTATTGAAGACGTTGCCAAATATAGCTTTAAAGTTTACCAGTTTGTATGAGTTCGCGTTTCAAAAGAAAAGCGTGCTATATCTTTAAATTATTTTTGAGGTTGGAATTACAAGTATGTGTATTATCTACATCGCAAGAAACCAAACCAAGCCTTCACCCAGAGGCGTTGCCGTCGCGTTGCCGCCGCCATTGGGCTCAAAAGGGGAAACCGCATCGGTGTCAACTAAGGATATTAAGTCTCTTTTGGGCGTCATTTTGTGTGGTTGGGAACTCAGGTGTCTAAAAAGAACGTTGAGATGCTGCAGAAAAGGAGCACAACCGTAAAAGTCACCGGCGAGTTCCTGCACGACAACGCCGGCTTCGGTTATGTAATGCATTATCGGCTTCCAAAAGTGATTTCCGTTATGCCGCGTTTGTGGCTTCCTTCTTCCGTTGAATTCATGTTCGCGTTTTTGTCTGTATAATTCTCTTTTTTTATATATATGCTACGTTTTTTTTGCGTTTTGTGGTAGCTATGGCACGAGAGACTGCACGAAGTCTCTCGAGCAATGCCCAAAAACAACAATCGTCCGCTGTCTTTTTTTTTTTTTTTGTGTTTGTTTGCGTGTTTTGAAGCTCCAGATTTTCGCCCACAGTCTTTTTGGTTTGTTGAAAAAAAAGTGGGTTCTAGTTTTCTTTGTGTCTTATCAAGATGTTCGGCTGAAATGATTCAGGTTCAACCCACATCTTTCGGCTTTGTGCCAAGTCCTTTGCGTTAGTGTAAAGGCTGTTCTCAGTTTCCTTCTTTTTTTTTGGGGGGGGGGAGGGGGGGCAGTAAAATTTTGTATAAACACGAACGTCTGTGGAATAAAATTCAGCTATGTTTGAGACTCTGTGTTGTGTTGTCCTTCGCCTTTCCCCAGTTTCGGGTGTTTGTCTGAAATTATGTTAAACATTTACCAGCTCGTTTGCGCCCTAACATTTTGTTGTAGTTATGTCCTTGTGGCACTTATGGCGGTGGCTTGACTTTATAGGTGTCTTTAAGAGATAAGAACTTTTTGTGTTATCTTTTTGTCGCACAGGACACTACGCGAGCGCAATAGCCCGTTTCAGGGCATCACTTTTGAGGTAGAATCACGTATCCGTATCTCTGTCTTTATCAAGACCTCCGTCTCTCATCGGAGCTAGAGTCACTAAATAACGCTTTCAGAGTACCGCATTCCTTTTCTTTGGCACTTTGCCGACAATGCAGTCGCTCTATCCAACAATATTCTGGTTCGCTGCGGCATCATTGGACAGCGGCAGTCACGTGGGTCACTATCATCATCATCGCGTTTTCTCGACGCCACCATCTTGGGTCCGCGCACGTTGAAGCGTTGAAGTCCGTTTCTCAGCACGCGCGTTTTCCGTGAGATACGAACAACACGACCTTGATTCGAGTTGATATGCGGGCTTAGTTCAGGGTTTCCTCAGTATTCCGCATGACATCGAATTCAAAGCGTAGCTTTGCCCGTGGCATACGAAGAACCGATGCCGCGGAGGTTCGCGTTTGGATCTCGACGTATAAGCGCGAGACCGCTACCGTGTGAAGCATCTAAAGTGTCGCAGTGTAGTTTGTGCAACAATGCCTGCTTGCTGTGCGTTCGGGTGTGCCAACAGGTCAGAGAATGGGAAAAGACTCTTCCGCATTCCGTTGGGAAAGGGCGCGACAGCGAGACGTAAAGCATGGTTAACCGTTGTGAACCGAAAAGATTTCAAGCCCGGCGCGGGAAGCAAGCTTTGTGAGGTGAGTGCGTTTAGCAGCTGTTCTGCTCCGCGTATCGCTTTGAAAGTCCTCAACCATCGCCGACTGAACGGGAGAGCGGCTACTTCAGGCTTTTATTATAATGCCTTCTAGGATCACTTCGAGCAGTCTCAGTTCGAAAACCACCGAGCCGATGGCAGGAAGCTGCTTAAACAAGATGCAGTGCCTACTATTCTTGGCTCCGAGCGTAACTCAAACGAGCTAAAACGCAACAGAAAGATGCCAGTGAAGCAAGTTTCAGCCTTTCTGTCAGGTATGTGAAAAAAAAAAAAAAGTAGAGATTACGAGTGGCACTGACGTGCTTTTGTTGAACCGTGTTGGTAACTGACACTCCCTGAAATAACCTTTCAGACACCGTGCGGACAGACTCTCCCGCCTCTGACTGCCACAAGACCTTGAGCCCAGAAAGCGCAACAGGTTACAGTGAAAGTAAGTCTGCCTCCACAGTTTCTGGGCACATCAAATAGCTGTCATGATTTAGGGGGGGCCAACACCGTTTATGTGTAGTCCTGTTTGCTTCCCATCTTCTGTGCAACACATTAACACGCACACTTTGCGCAGGAAACCCTGACGGAGCTTTCTCGGGCTGCACAGTTGAGACTCCGAGCAACACTGCCACGTTGGAAGGTTGGGAAGGCACTCTGTTCTTTTGTTTGTGTTTTTTCTCTCCATGCAATCACCTTTCCAGACGCCATGCCGACAGAGTCTCACGCCTCTGACTGCCACGAGACCTTGAGCCCAGGAAGCGCAGCGGGTTACAGTGAAAGTAAGTGGGCCTCCACAGTTTCTCCGCACATCAAATAGCTGTCATGATTGAGGGGGGCCCAACACCGTTTATGTGTAATCCTGTTTGCTTCCCATCTTCTGTGCAAAGCATTAACATGCACACTTTGCGCAGGGAACCCTGACAAAGCTCTCTCAGGCTGCACAATTGAGACTCCGAGCGACACTGCCGTGTTGCAAGGTTAGGAAGGCGCTTTGCTCTTTTGTTGAGCTGTGCTGGCAACTGACACTCCCTGCAATAACCTTTCCAGATGCCATGTCGACAAACTCTCACGCCTCTGACTGCCACGAGACCTTGAGCCCAGGAAGCGCAGCGGGTTACAGTGAAAGTAAGTCTGCCTCCACAGTTTCTCCGCACATCAAATAGCTGTCATGATTTAGAGGGGCCTGACACCGTTTATGTGTAATCCTGTTTGCTTCCCATCTTCTGTGCAAAACATTAACACGCACACTTTGTGCAGGGAACCCTGACAGAGCTCTCTCGGGCTGCACAATTGAGACTCCGAGCGACAGTGCCGTGTTGCAAGGTTAGGAGGGCGCTGTGCTTTTTTGTTGAGCTATGTTGGCAACTGACTCTCCCTGCAATAACCTTTCCAGATGCCATGTCGACAGACTTTCAGCCCTCTGACTGCCACGAGACCTTGAGCCCAGGAAGCGCAGCGGGTTACAGTGAAAGTAAGTCTGCCTCCACAGTTTCTCCGCACATCAAATAACTGTCATGATTTAGGGGGGGGGGGGGGGGGGGGGCCTGACACCGTTTATCTGTAATCCTGTTTGCTTCCCATCTTCTGTGCAAAGCATTAACACGCACACTTTGCGCAGGGAACCCTGACAGAGCTCTCTCGGGCTGCACAATTGAGACTCCGAGCGACAGTGCCGTGTTGCAAGGTTAGGAGGGCGCTGTGCTCTTTTGTTGAGCTATGTTGGCAACTGACTCTCCCTGCAATAACCTTTCCAGGTGCCATGTCGACAGACTTTCACGCCTCTGACTGCCAAGAGACCTTGAGCCCAGGAAGCGCAGCGGGCTACAGTGAAAGTAAGTTTTCCTCCACAGTTTCTCCGCACATAAAATAACTGTCATGATTTAGGGGGGGCCTGACACCGTTTATGTGTAATCCTGTTTGCTTCCCATCTTCTGTGCAACACATTAACACGCACACTTTGTGCAGGAAACCCTGATGGAGTTTTCTCGGGCTGCACAGTTGAGACTTCGAGCAACACTGCCACGTTGGAAGGTTGGAAAGACTTTTGTTTGTGTTCTTACTCTCCCTGCAATAACCTTTCCAGATGCCATGCCAACAGACTATCCCGCCTCTGACTGCCACGAGAGTAATTTTCAGCTAACTCGCACACCTCGATCATGTGACTTATCTGTTTGCGCAATCGAGCTTCTTTCTGACAGACAGAATGATACTACTTAAACTCAGCCAAATGGTTCTAGCCGGCAGCACGGAGACGAATGGGGACAAACTGAAGAGAGTCTTCATTGGAGATTCACGCAGAACCTCTCTGCATTGAGCTTGACTTAAAATCGTGAACGGAGAAATTGAGTATTTTTTGTGGCCTGACAACCTGAGCAATGTAGACCTATACGCAGGGAGCAAGAGAGAACGTCGCAACTTAAGAGGCTCAGACGCTGGTTTGAGCAAGCCGGCCCAGATGTTCAGAACACGTCATATTGCATAGAAACCAAGGGCAGTATAAACCAAGTCAAGGCGCCAACTTCATTGCAAACGGAAAAATGGAGCCGAACCGTGTGTTCACTGCCAAGGAAATGCAGGCTAGGAAGAAGTGTGGAGCGCAGGAAGAACGTCTTCGGTATGAGGCGAAGCATGGTTTCGAACGTGAGCGCATGCTGGCTCATAAACGGGAAGTGGAACAGGGTGGCGGCAGTGAGACAGCAGCGGAACAGGAGAGCGTCGTTTAGGAGTGCACAAGAGTACTTTAAAAAACATTTCATGCAGGACGAGTTTGATTTTGTTTGCTGTGTGTGCGATAGACCCTGGGTTTTGTTAGATATAAACACAAATGTTGATGTTTCCAATAGATGTATATATAACGCATCACTAGTGTCGTCTTACACCAGTCTCTGAACGACATCAAAATCACCGTCCAAGCAGCGACAATCGTACATCAAAGAAAGCTTTGCTTTTACACCAAATCCCACATGGGGTGGGATTCACATTATTTTTTTCATGTTGCGTTTTATTCAAATCATGTATGTTTTTGCAGATCCCATGGTGTCTAGAGATATTGCTGCAAACTGCCTTGAACAACATCACGAAGAAACAATATCTGAACTTCGTCGTAAGCTTGACCTGGCCAACAAAAAATATCTCAAGCTGTCACGAGAGCTTCAGAATCTTAAAGGTATTAAAGTATTGAGTCTCGTATATGATTGCAAAACAAAAGGCAGCCAATAAATGTTTATTAAACTTTAGTACAAAAATTCTAATTGTAGCACATGGGAAGAAATAGCAGCAAAGAAACTTAGACAAGAGTAAAGGAACAAACACGACAGGACGGCACTGAACTAACAACTGTTGTTTATTATACGAAAAGGGAAAGGAAGAAAACAGGAAGCATCTTAATCAGAAAAAATAGACACACACACGCCAACAAGCAGCATATTATGTCACGATAAACCAAACCAGTGGCTACGTAATGCCCGTTATAGTCAATCGCGGGTACTTGAATTCTTTTTCAGATAACGCCACTGACGGTTCGCTGACCTGCCAAGTTCCGAGATAAAAAGACTTGGTAATTTCCGTTGTCACTCTGCCTCTATGTCTATCCAAAACAGTGACTTAACTAAAATTAGGCTGGCACTTGCAGCCCCTGCAGTGTAAAGGTAGCGGCCCCCCAACTGTGGCCCTGAGTGAGTACAAATGCTAAGTCTGTCATTTAGGCAGCAGAGTGACAAGAGAAATTTCCGAGGCCTTTTTCATCTCGGAAGTTGGCAGGAGATGCGTCAGCAAACCGTCAGTGGCGTTACCTGAAAAAAACTTTGGGTACCTGCGATTGACTATGACGGGTATTACGTAGCCACTGATTTGGCCTATCGTGACATAACATGCTGCTTGGCTGGCATTTTTGTGTGTCTATATATTTTTATCTGATTAAGATGCTTCTTGTTTTTTTCCTTCCCCCTTTTGCGTAATAAACAACAGTTATTAGTTCAGCGCCATCCTGTCGTGTTTGTTCCTTTACTGCTGTCCAAGTTTCTTTGCTGCTGTTTCTTCCCAAGATGTTCACCTCAAACCAACTAGCGCAACACGTCATATTGTTGTAGAACTTCTTTTTACATCCTTCAGATGACTGTAGAGGGCATCTTGCTGACGACCAGATCCTCTGTATGCAACAGAAAGATATGAGAGGCAACAGATGGTCTCAGAGACTACCAAACGAGCCTTGCAACTCCGTCTTGCCTGTTGACACAGAGGCTACAACTTCCTTCGAGAAGGATTTCTGCCCTTGCCAGCCGAGCGAACTCTCCAGAAAAGGATAGAAGGAGTCAAGTTTCAGACAGGTATGAACAAAAAAATTTAAATGTATTCAAACACGTTTGGCTTCATTACCAAAAATGCAGACAGGTTTTCTTTTCCTTTTACGCAGGGCTTCTTCGAGAACTTCTTCCTGCAGTGGAGTGCAAAGTTGCAACTATGGGTCCCCAAGAGCGACACTGTGTGCTGCTCATGGATGAGATGCAGCTGACACCTGGCCTGGAGTATGACTGCACAACAAAGACCGTGATTGGGCAAACAACTTTGAAAGGCTGCAAGCTGCCGAGCAATGATGGCATCGTAACCTTTGCAACGCATGGGCTGGTGTTTATGCTGGCCGGTCTATCCACAAGGTGGAAACAAGTCATTGGTTACCATTTCACAGGTAAATGTGTCAATTTACGGTAATGGATAGATTTTTATGTCTCTTTATTACCATAATCATGTCAGTTACCATTACCATAGTCATGAAAGTGTAATGTGTCAATGGGGTATCTAATAACTCTCTTCCATTTCAGGCAGTTCTGTGTCATCGGACGACCTGAAAAAGATTGTCTTTGAGATTATTGTGGAGTGCGAGAAAATTGGTTTTGTGGTAGAGGGAATCGTTTCGGACATGGGCGCCTGCAACCAGGGTTTGTGGAAACAGTGTGGAGTGTCGGCAACTCGGCACAGTGATCCCATTGTCTCCTGCCCCCATCCGTGTGCTGTTGAGGGAGAGAACAGAGACCTCTTGTTTTTTGCCGATGCCCCACATGTGCTGAAAAACGTCCGGGGTCACCTCATACGTGAACAAACAATATTTTTGCCAAGAGACATCGTCGAGAAGCACAGCCTGCCAACAAATGAGGTGTGTGTTTTTTTACTATTCTTTCCTTCTTGGGCAAGTTTAAGCGTAGCACCCAAAAGGAATACCCCAAAAGCGCTTCTGGTCTAGTGGTGAATAACACATCTTGCATCATTTTCTAGACAAAATATATATTTGCCTTTTTCGAGGCAAGGTTACTTCTACTGTGCGAATAATTGCGTGACTATAGTGGAGGAAAGATGCATAAGCAATAGAAAATAACTACTGACCGGAAGTTTCAAATTGCAATCAGATAGACCAGTGGTTCTCAACCACTGATGTTTCGCGGATCCCTTGTGGATCGACGGAGGTGATGGAGGATCCCATATGTGGCAAGGGAAGGCAAATATAAGGTCAGTTATGATAATTATTTAATAAATAGATATAGGTAAGGGAGCTAATTATGATAATTATTTATTAAATGAATATAACTAAGCGCTAGTATGAGGTAGACTTCTCTCATTGACACACACGAGAAAACGCATCCAAAAATCGGAATGTTTCTTCTTAATCTAAAAAAGACAACTTTTATTGCCGGGCTTGAGTGATGAGGCAGGGCTTCGCGGGCCCTTAGAATGCCTTCGCAGACCCAAAAGGGTCCGCGGACCCTCATTTCAGAACCACTGAAATAGACGATAGACATCATCATTCAGTTCGTTTGAAAACAAAAAAGAGGGAATGTAACAGTTCATCACTAGAACTAAATCTTTTACAGGTCTCTGTCGCACACATCAAGGAGCTGGCTGCAATTGATGCCCGTCAAGACCTTAAAGTTGCACCGCATCTAAAGGAAAAGTACTTGGAAACCAACCATTTTGAGAAAATGAATGTTGCCAGTGCAGTTGCAGTTTTGAATCGTGCTGTGGCTTCAGCAATCAGGTTGTTTGTACAGATGGGGCAGCTCCCACGTGAGGCCTTGACAACAGCTTGGTTCTTGGAGATGGTAGACCGCTGGTTTTCATTGATGACATCCAGAAGCTTCGGTGTCGCCATGAGTAATGCAAAGGAAAATGAGCATGAAGATGCAGTGACATTCCTTAGGATGTTCATGAGTATGTTTAGACGGCTGTCCATTCGAGCACCAGGTCAGAATGTTTGTTTCAAACCTGTACAGGCGGGAGTTATTATTTCGACTCAGAGTGCCTTGTTGTTGCAGGAGAAGCTCTCGTCACAGCATGGCTTTAGATTCGTGCTTCTGAGCCGCGTCAGCCAGGATGCTCTTGAGAACTTGTTTTCGTGTGTTCGAAACAAGCATCCAGTTCCTCGACCACTGGAGTTTAAGTTAACACTGCGATTGATTGCTATGTCACAGTTCTTCTCTCCTAGTCGTCGTGGTAACTACACGATTGATGATAGCGTTGATCTTACAGACTTTTTACAGTCCTCACCAGTGCCCATACAGGAGGAGGAAGTCTTTGACCCTCACTTCCTGCCAGAAGTAGTATTGAGTGCAAGTGAGCAGGAGTCCATGACTTACCTTGCTGGTTACACCTCACGAGCCATTGTGAGAAAACACAAACTCTGTGAAGAGTGCACTTCATTCTTGAAAGAAGCACCCGCAACATCAAACACTAGCCTGATTAAGCTTAAATCATACACCCCAAACAAAGCCAACCCACTGTTCACACCTGCTCGCAACGTGCTTGAACTTCTGCAGCATGCAGAGAACACATTCAGAGTGAACGAAAAAAAGATCCTGAACATCAGCGTTGACAAGTTGACTACTATGGTGCTTGCCACATATCTCGGGAAACCATTGCCAACCTGCCACGGCCTGGCACAAAAGCTTGTGCACATGTTCCTTTTGGTGAGGCTCCGCTTTTATCTGCGGAAACTCAACCTGTCTGCGTGCAAGAAGCCAAGCGCAAAATGCGGGAGTCGCAGCGTGGCAATGAGAGTTCTAACAGATAATGTGAAGTGATCCGTGTGAGGTAGCGATGTGTTCATTTGTACGTGGCAAGATCTGATGCACAAGCGTGTACACCCGGTCATCAATATGAAGGTGAACACTGAACTGTCGACCGCTCTGTGCTATTGGCGCCATGACGCGGTGGCCCTAAAGGCGTGCCAGTCTTATCGCGCATCTCACCTTGATTAAGCGCTTGGATCAAACACCATTCTCAGATCTCCTCTACTCTCTGCAGAAAGGGGGAGGATGAGCTTCCACACTTTGTGCAGGGGGTAGCACTAGACCTAAGAACAGCATCTGGTCGAAGCACTTATCTTGGCAAACCGCGTAATAACACTTGCAAGCCACCACGGAGCGGTCCATGGTCCAAAGTACAGCTTCATGTTGATGACGGGTTCATGTATGTTTCATTTGATGAGGTTCCACTTTTAACTAAGATACCACGATTGAAATAGTTGTGTATTGCAGCATTAATTATATGTACTCCTGTTAACTCGAAACATATCAGGGGAAGCCATTGTCACCTTGCCATGACCTGATGCACATGCTTCTGCATATGTTTCATTTGGTGAGATTCCACTTCGCGTGCTAAAGGGCAGGCTCGAAATTGTGGGAGTTGTGGTGTTGCAGGGAGAGTTTTGGCATAGAATGTCAGGTGCCCTTTCCAGACTACCAACATGCTTATGTGTGTCATGTCGCCTCCTTGTTGAAATGTTTTTTTTTTATTGCACCATTAATTTCTTTCCTGTTTGCTTGTAACATATACATATAGGCAAGCCATTATCATCCTGCCATGACCTGATGCACATGCTTGTACATGTTTTCTTTTGATTTGAGGCTCGGTTTTTATTTACACACCTTGAGTGCTGGAGCTATAATGCCGCAGTGGGAACATTTAGCAGAAAATGTCAAGTGACCTTTCAACTATCGATTGTTTCATCTCTACCTGACATGAGTGTTTTTGAAACAAGTTATATTGTATTAAAGGATTTACTTTGAACTTGTTTGTTGAAATTCAAGTGTCCAATATGCCGAAATTGAGATCTCATAGTGCCAACTGGCTGAAACATGTAATACTTTATTTCACAATTCAGAAGGTAGGTGCGTAAAGACTGTTTACAGCATATACCGTATACGCTTGAGGTGTCACCAAAAAGTACACATACTCACAAGCAAAAAAACAAACCATGTGTGCAGATTAGAATCAAGCAGTAACATGTATTCAATTACAAATTTAAAGCTGGGGGTAACTTTTATATGGAGCATATGTACTACATTACCGATATCGTAAAATTATAATCGGGTAGATATGGTCTATGAATATTGACTAAAAGCATGGGCTAAAGCGAGGGAAGTTCACCTCACTGCATTCTTCCCCTGGCGCATAAGTCAGAAAACAATTTAAATGTTTCGTTTATGAGAAGCCTCCTGCCCGAGTGAAGTGTGCCCATGGCACACCATACTTCCAATACGTCGACGACACAAACAAAAAGCGATGTAGATCGACGCAGTGAATTGGCATTCCAGGACAGTTGACACAGTTGATTTGGCATGCGAGACATTCCACTCCTGAATCCGTAGAAGTGCCCCAAATTGCGGTCGCGCGCGTGAAAGCATTCGGTATTTTGCTAGAGTGCGTTCTACTTACTTAGGAAGACTATCCAAGGTGCCACGCAACCAATTCAGTAACCCTTTCACTGTCGCTACAATGCCAGAAAAACTCGCCGGCTACCCACCGCTGCTACAGCCTTACAGCTGGCGCAGACGACGACAAGATCTCGGCTTGGCTCGGCTAGACTCGGCTAGAGTCAATTTTCCATCGCGAGTGGACCCAATATGGCGGCGCCTGACGCGCTTCAGACGCGGAGTTTGGGAGTTTCGGTACTCTGAAAGCGTAGCTTTATTTAGTGACTCTAATCGGAGCTACATTTCAGGAAGGGGTCGCTGTTCTGTTTATGAATGGGTCGATGTGCAAGATAGCCTATAACTCAAAAAAAAATGTTTTGGGGCGATAAGTGATAAAGAAGGAGCGTTAGTAAGTGTCGTAGTTTTAAAGCCGCGTCGAATTTGAATAATTGAATGGACTTTGATTGATTAAAAATAAACATGAAGGATTGATATAGATATCATCTCTTTCAAATAAAATGTTTTCCTACTTTCAGTCGCCGTCATTTTTGTTCCCTCCAATAAAGTAACTTTTACACTGTTTTATCTGAATAGTAAGACAGCATTCCTCAACACTATTGCTTTTGTAGGCCATATATTCCGTGAGCGTTTGCTTCACTTTGCATTACATTGCTGCTATGAACTGTTTTGCCATGTGGCATCATCCGGTGTCATGACAATTTATGAAAATTATTGTTTATACAACATATATCTGTCTTTTTTAGTGGTATTTATATCACTAAAGGAGTTTTTTTTTAGAAGCAAAGCCATTTTTCCCGAGGCATACTCGTACACGTGTTTTGCTTACACTACCCCTCACTTTTTATACTCTAATAATTTGCCTACGTAATGCCTAATAATATGCGTAATAATTTCTCTTAATTGCCATGAATAACCATCATTCTATAGGAAATAAAACACGACTGTTTTAATAAAAACTCAAAGCTACGATTGTAACTCATCAGCGCTGTTCCGCGGCGCCGGATCACATCCCGCTCAACAGAATTAGTTTACTAGACCGTCTGCTAATTCTACTACTTTATGTACAATAAAACATGTTTGTGTCAATAAAAGTTTGTGTTTACGACGGTATATTCACGCGCGATGCCTTCACCTTGGCGCTATCCCGAGGCGCCCGGCCGCGTATTGCCGTCTGCTCACCGAG